TTGCCATTCCACTAGGCTAGTTGTACACCTCTTATCAAGAAGGCTATGACCAAAATAAAAACTCAGAAAGGCAAGCAAGGTTAAGGGTGTCCAATTTCACACTATCATGGGCCACCTTTAGTTTACTCTGCACAGGTCAAGTCTGCAAACCAATGACCATTCTTTCAATGTATCCACTCGAAAGCCACATCATCCTTGCTGTGATTCTGAGTCTCCCAAACTGCAGACATTTCATATATATGTGGGTGTGTATATATATGTATTTTTAAGTAGGCTCCATGCCCAGCATGGTGCTTGAACTCACAACCCTGAGATCAAGCCCTAAGCTGAGGCTGAAAGTCAGACACTTAAGCAAGTGAGCCACTCAGGTGCCCCCAATTTTTTTAATTTATATTTTTTTATTAAGTAGACCCCACGCCCAGTATGGGGTCCAATGCAGGGCTGGAACTCATGACCCCAAGATCTAAACTGCAGATATTTTCAAAGACACTAGTTCCCTGGGGCGCCTGGGTGGCTCAGTTGGTTAAGCGACTGCCTTCGGCTCAGGTCATGATCCTGGAGTCCCTGGATCGAGTCCCGCATCAGGCTTCCTGCTCGGCAGGGAGTCTGCTTCTCCCTCTGACCCTCCCCTCTCTCATGTGCTCTCTCTCATTCTCTCTCTCTCAAATAAATAAATAAAATCTTTAAAAAAAAAAAAAGACACTAGTTCCCTACCCACCAAGTGGGTCAACAAATCACGGTTTCTCCTCCCTAAGTACACCCCTTCCTTACCATTTCTTTCAACCACCCTTTCTACCTCCTTTTTTTTTTTTTTAAAGATTTTATTTATTTATTTGACAGAGAGAGACACAGTGAGAGAGGGAACACAAGCAGGGGGAATGGGAGAGGGAGAAGCAGACTCCCCGCAGAGCAGGGAGCCCAATGTGGGACTCCATCCCAGGACCCTGGGACCATGACCTGAGCTGAAGGCAGATGCTTAATGACTGAGCCACCCAGGCGCCTCTACCTCCTTCTTTATACATCTACTTTCTACCTCCTTCAACTGCACCCCTGCAACAGACTCAAAACTGGGACACAAGCACTATCCCACTCAGAACTTCCAGGGACACCCCACTGGCCCAGCTGAACCTTTCACGTCAGCCTTTGCCCCACTTTTCCCCAAGGACACTTCCTTTGGCTCTACTCCTTGGTCCTCAGGCATGGCCTGGTCTTTCACTCCTCCACCTTTTTCAGGTCACCCAAGGACAGCCCCTCATCTTACCTGCCTGCCACAGACTCAGCCTTCCCCTCGTTTTGCAGTCTAGGCGCCCCTGTTTATTCCGAGTCTCTCAAGTCCTTACCAGTGCTTGGCTGATGCTGGCTTACATTCCACTGTCACCTCCTGCCCCTTCTATTCAACGGTAGATCCCTGGTGATACCAGCACCATTCAGGTCCCTAATGTCTGCTGAACTGCCTCATGTTGAATCTTTTTTCTCTCTCCTCATGCCCCCGCTGACCACTGTCCTTGTTCAGGTCCCCGATCTCCTTACTGGACCACAGGAGTAACCAACTTGCCTCCAGTCCAGTCTCCACAGTCACAATGGGGGCTTTTTTTTTATATTAAAAAAAACGTTTTTAAATAAATGTTATGCCCAGCATGGGGATCAAACACACAACCCCAAAAGCAAGAGTCCCATGTTTCACTGACTGAGCCAGGCACCCTAGGGTCACTTCTTCAAACCACCACAGCTGTGCTCCAAGTTCCTTCTGGTTCCAAGCCAACCTTCTAGAACATACAGAAAAGGTGCCCTGTCTTCTCTCTCCCCACTCCTTGCCTCTGTTCACTTCTTTTCCTTCCACAGAGTTGTGACCTTCCTGCCATCAACTCCTTCACCAATCAAACCACTAACCTTTCTTGAGGGTCCAGCTCAATTGAAATCCCACCCTAAAGCCTGCCCTCCCAGCCTAGGACCCAGGCTCCTTGGCTTACTTCAGCATAGTGCCCAGAGCACCAGTAGAGGCCCCAAGAAAGCTCAGACAAATCCTAGTTTCTGAGAATGGTCCCTCACAGCATGTTCCTGGAGTTCTGTGTGGAGTCCCTGATCACTTCTCCCATATTGCCCTGGCATTGTGCCCACCACCAAACACCTGGGCTTGGTCTTCACCAGAGAAGCACCCAACCAAGGCTACCATCATCAGTCTGATGCAACACAAACACAGGTGGGCATAGCCAAACGTTCAACCTGGATTCAAATCCTGACTGCCACGTGATGACAGCTGTGTGTCCTTGGGAACATTCCCTCATCTAGGACTCTGCTTCCTCAGTCAATATAAAGGATTCTCATAACCATTAGCAATGATGCACATAGACCAGAAACAGAAGGCCCCTGACTGTGGCTGATGTATTCTATCACATCACTGACCCTCAGAAAGCGGGAAAGGCTAGAACAACTGTGAGATAAAGAGATGAACATACTCTCATCTGCATCAAGAATGAACACACCTCTTAAAAAAAAAAAAGAAAGAAAAGAATGAACACACCTCTACTCTGAGATGGATACAACCAGCCCTGCCCAACAGGAAATGCAATGCCTCAAGTTCAAGAGATAAGATTTTTAACAATCAAGGGCGCCTGGGTGGCTCAGTCATTAAGCGTGTGCCTTCCGCTCAGGTCATGATCCAGGGGTCCTGGGATCAAGCCCCGCGTTGGGCTCCTGCTTCTCCCTCCCCCACTCCCCCTGCTTGTGTTCCCTCTCGATGTGCCTCTGTCAAATAAATAAATAAATCATCTTTAAAAAAAAAAAAAAGATTTTTAACAATCAAATGCCATGCCTCTTCTTTCCTAAACAATCTCAGTCTAAGTGGTTCCAGGGTCCCCCTCTTACCCCACCACTCTCAGTGTTTAACAGACACCAGCTAACTTGCAGAAGATACAGTTAAATCCTTGGTCATGCTTAGTCTTCTGACCCACACATTCCTGAATACAGGATTCTTCTCCCTGCCCCCCCCCAACCCCAGCTTGGCATTCCCTTGGCTCAACCTTTTCAGCCTCTCAGCTGGCTCCTCCTCCCTCCTCATCTCTCCTCTACTGGCTGACCTCACAGCCAGAGGTCCTGAACCCCTCCTCTCCCTGACACTACCTATGTGGCCACCAGCAAGATCTTTCTAAACATAGGTCTGGACCCTGCCACTCCACTAGTTTAAAAGTCTTCTCAGGCTTCTGCACCCTGAGGATAAAGTCTGAACTCCCAAGCACAATGAGAAAGGCCTAGAGATCCCACTCGCCAAACTGGAGGACTCACAGGTGCTATTTTAGGAGCTCATGTACATGTGGTTCCCTGTGTCCAGACCTTGCTATCCCCCAGCTAATTCCTGCTGGCCCTGCAAGCCTCAGCTTAGGAATTCCCTCTCCTCAGGCTCCCAAAGCACCATGTGAGCACACTTAGTGGGCAGATATTATCAATCATAGGTTCCTTAATCCCCACTGTCCCTGAAACTGTGTTCCTTAAGGGCAGAACCAGCCTCTTTTACATGGGTACCCTGAACCTACCACAAAATTAGGCCAAATAGTGAAGCCAAATATTCATTAAATGAATGAATGTATTTTGCCACAAATCAACTTTTCCAAAAACAGTTAAGACTTGCTTTCTTCCTCTTTCAACCAAGGCTCATATCAACAAAAGCTTTCATGTTCGAACCAGGTGTTTGTTGCCTATATAGTACTGCTTACTCTTCCTTTCATACAGTACCCCACAGGCTTTGAACAGGCTCACACTATGCATCCTACTCTCTCCTCAAATCTGATTTCTCTAAGAAATGGCTCCTCAGCCTCCTTTAAACATGCAGCCCATGAGCTCTTATTTCTTGGCTCCACAGCAAAGTTCAATTCAACTTCTCCATACTCCAACTAGAGATTTTTATGTCTCCAAGGTTGAATCTTTTTTAAAACAGGGACATTCCAAAATTATCATGTCTCTGAACACTAAGCATAGAACAACCTGATAAAGTTACAATATCCCATCTACACCAGACTCCAAAACACCTGGTAGCACATCCAACTCTTTATCTGGGCTTATGTCCTATAAACACCACCTCCCTGCACTGAGTCTGGGTTCCATGCCAGGAATCGCTTCTCCTAGCTTATTTAGGGAAATAGCAGGCCCGGCTCTTAAGTTAGAACTTTAGGCTATAAACGTGTTGTCCCAGGCTCTAGCTTCCACCAAAGCAAAACTTCATGATCGTCATTAAAACTAATTCTGAAGTAAGTCATTTGCAAACCTAAGAGCTTCACATGTCATAGAGATTAAAATATGCATTTTTAATTAGCACTTGAGTTTGTATGAAATTAACTCGGAATTTTTGGCAGGATTCTAAGCCAAGACAGCATTTTCTCTGGAGACACTTTACACATACACCCGCTGGTCAATCTGGTTTTCCAAACACCAAGTAAAAAGGTGAAAAGGCAGGAGGCTTCCAAAGAAGCTCAAGAGTGTGTGAGTGTGACTGTGTGTGTGTGTGTGTGTGTGTGTGTGTGTGTGGCGGGGGGAGGGGGGATGACCCCAAGGCTCTGAGCAGCTCAGGTCCCAGCGGCTGCGGCGCCCTTCCACGCCTCCTGCGGGGAGTCAGTGCCCCATCCTCCGGCTTCCGCCCAACTGGGCCGCGCGACCACCCTCTTTGCAAGCCCAGGGGGCGGCCCAAAGGCCGTACACGCCTGTGGCCAACGCGCAGGCCCCGCGTTCCCCGGAGCGCGGGCCGGGCTGAGGCCTGGCCCATCGCCGCGGCGCGGAGCCCGGGCCCGGCCCGGCCGCGGAACGCCCTGAGCCTTCGCCTGAGAGGCCGAGAGGAGGGGGGCGGCTCTCCCCGGGCCACGCCGCTGCCTCACCCGCAAAGACGTCCACAACCGTGTCCCCACCCCGGGCGAAACCGCGAGCAGCAGGTGTTCCTCGGGAGGCTCGGCCGGCCACGGGGATGGGGGCCTGGGCTGCCAGGCTCGGCGGCAGGGGACGGGCGGCGCACTCACCGAGCGCCGGCGGGCGGGCCGCGGCAGGTGTTTGCTCCTCCCGGCCGCAAGACGCCGCGCCGCCGCCGCCGCCGCCGCTCCCCGGGGACTCGGCGCCAAGCTGCCGTCGCCGCCGCTGCTGCCGCCGAGCCCGAGGAGCGCGAGCGCCGCACCGCAGCCTCCGCGCGAGCACGTACCGGGCGGTGAGAGGGCGACGAGCGCGAGGGCGGGGCGCGCGGCCGGAGCCTAGCAACCGCCTGACACGCGAGTGCCGCAACCAATCCCGCCGCCAGCTCCGCGCGGCATCGACCAGCAGTCCGCGCGACGCCCGCTTCTGCCTGCGTCCACCGCCCCGCAGCGCGCCGCACCCGCGCACAGGCCCCGCCTCCATCCGCGCCGCTTTGCTCATTGGCCCGCCACGCCCCCGCCCGAAAAGACACGCCCCACCCCGGAAGACACGCCCCACCCTGGAAGACACGCCCCGCGGCCGGCCGGGTCCGTCCCCGGGACACGCCCCGGCCCGCCCGGGTTGCCCCCAGCCCTCTCGTCTGGTAGTGGGGGGAGGGGCGCCCCGCCCAACCTCAGGCCTTCGGGCCACTGAGACTCGTCCCTCCGATCCAGGGTGGTCGGGCTCGAAAACTGGCCCTGCCACAAATGACCACCTATTTTTTGGCCCTCCTCATTTCTCTCGAACGCAAATCAAGAGGTATTTCTAAGCCATGAAAACAATCAGGAAGCGTCCTCTAAATCGCTAAGGATGATCCTGTTGCTTGGCCCTTACACGGACGGGGAAACTGAGGCGAGGGCCGGAAGGGCGGGAAGCTGGCCTCTCTCCAAAGGCCTAGCCCCTAGCCGGCGAGGGCGTCCGGGAAGCGCCTCAGGCCTGACCCTGTCCCCTCCCCCTGCCCCCGAACTCCGGAATCCGATGCCTCCTCTGGCGCCAGAAATAGCTTTGACCCGCTGGCGAGCTGGTCACTCTCTACTTGTGGCCCGCATTCTTTCAGGGGGTGGGGGAGTAAGGAGCGGAGGTTACTGCTGAGGTCCTTCTCCCTTCAAGGGGAGCGTCCTAAAGGTGCTCTCCCTCCCCCCAGGGCTTACCTACGGCCTCCAACCCCTACGGCCCCAGAGACCTGAAAAAGTACTGGATGGGTCTGGGGATGGCATGCATAGTGGGCTTTGCTTCCTTTAGCTCCCAAGTCCTGCTCAGGATGTGTCCATTCCCTCCTGGGCCTGTGTCCAGGTTGGAATTCCAAGCCTGCACTTTTGTCAGAGAGCACATTCTGAACACAACTGGCTGCTGCCTGCCAGGTGGTCCTCCCTGAATCCAGACAGGTGTGAGTCTCCCTGGCCTTCTCCCCCTCCTTAAAGAGGGGCGTCATTGCTGGGAGAAATACATTTCAGAGAGCTGAAAGGAAAGTCATCTCCCAAATGCACATACCTGTTTGTGATTCCTTTTTTTTAGATTTTATTTTTGTAAGTAATCTCTAGATCCAACGTGGTGCTGGAACTCACAACCCTGGGATCAAGAGGTTCATGCTCTAGCAACTGTGCCAGCCAGATGCCCCTTGATTCTTTATACTTAAATGCATAGCCTCCAAATCTCATTCACACAGACTAGAAAAGGAACTAAAAACCAGGGGAAAGTCCCCAAATCATCCTTCAGATGTTAAAACTAAATAATTAATGGCCTCTCAAATCCAAATTTAAAATTCTGCTGCTTTGAAAAGGCTAAGAATGTGAAAAGTTACTTGGGTTTCTAAATCCAATATATTCTCTCATTCACTTCTTCAGTTTACCAAGTCAACACACACACACACACACACACACACACACATACACCCAACCCAACATACACCAGGCACTGGTTTGCAGCCCTAGGTTCTGCTGGGTATTTCAGTGCCTGACTGTATAGTTATATATAAATGTTTTTCCAAAACAAAAGACATCAGTGGGTACTGGCCTCCTAAAGTACCTCCCTCCTACCATCTGCACAGAAGCTGCTGGCCACTCTAGTCCTCACTGACCATCCATGGAAGCCAGAGTAACTCCCCTTCTTCCTTTTTGGCCCTGGTCTTCCCAGATGAAGCACCAGGCCTCATTCTGGCCTCCAGAGTCCCAGTGCCCCATGCCTAAGCAGCCTCCAGATTTTTGACCCACAGGAAGGGGCCTCAATTAGATGGTCCCAGAAGGTGGGATAGTCCTGGAAGGAGAGAACAACAACCAGAGTATGCCTAAAGCTGTTATAGCCAAATCCTTTCCAGTACTTGCCAATCTAGGTTTGGGGTTCAGTTGGAGGCATTGTGGCTCCCAGGCTGGCCCTAATACTCTCCCCCTTCCCTAGCCCTTCAGTCCTGGCAGATCTCACATGTTTTCCACCCCCCAGGCCAGAATGGCTCTAACCTCTGGGCGTCATTGTTGACTTTCTTCATTTTGTTCTCCCCACCCCCCTATTCCAGGCCCTAGAAGGCAGACTGGCCTGGCTGGCCAGAGTTGACCAGCCTTTTGGGGCCTAACTAGCCCCAGCTGGAGCCCAATCAGCTCCTACGGAGCCCATAGGAAAGAGGGAGGTGGACAGCTGTCCTCATGGGCCCCTAGGTTAAGTGGGGTCTATAAAGGAAAGGCCTGTTATTCTCTGTAGTCCTGAGAGTCAAAGCCTTTGCCCTACCAGGGAACTACATAACCCATCCTAGTGCTCGGGACAAGGTCCCCAATGACTCACCCTTGGGAGCTATTCTAGACCCAGCAAGGCCTAGGCCACCTGGGATGATGCTCACAGCCAGTTGGGCATAGCCAAAAGTGAGGTCCAGAGAACACCCAAGAGGAGCTGCCCACGGGGCCCATGTGGTATGGGCTAGGGGAGGATTGATCAGAAGCTGAGAATAGGGCTCTTCGGGCCTAATAGCCCTCAACTCTCCTGGCCCTTCAGCCTCCAGTGTTTCCTCCACTTAGATCCCAAGCCAGAGGCTCCAGAAAAATTATCTGATTAAGGTTTGTCTCCCCCACTGGAGTATGAGCCCTTGAGGCCAGAGACCAATCTGCTTGGCCCCATATTATAACTACCACCTAACTGCCTACACATAGTAGAGGCTCCATTTCTGTTTGAGAAGGAAAGAATGAGATGTTGCTTGCCTCACTTCCTGGTTGGTAGTCACCACCAAGGGTCCAAGCCCTGTGCAAAGCCTAAGGCAAATGCCCCAGTGTTTACCTGGGACCAATGTGATTTAAGCTAAAGCTTTGGTTCTAGCTCAGATAAAAATCCAGCAGACACCGACATGAACCAAACTTTCCTCTGGTCCTAGGATTCCAGGACTTTTTACTCTGGCATGTTCCCAAGGAATTGAAGGCTAAGGGCCAGGGCCCAGATTCAGACTCTTCCAGAGGAAGAGAGGCTCCTGTCGCTGCTGCTCCCCCAGGCCCAGTGAAGAGGGGCAAGGGACAGTGCTAGCTGAGGATGGAGGCTCCTGCCCCAAATGCCCAAGCAGGGCCAGCCAAGTCAGGGCAAGGGAGGGGTCCCTTTTGTCTGGATTTAACAGAAGGCAGATTGTCTGGCAGCTCTGGCAGAAAGAAAGGGCTGATAAGTTCATCCGGGAGAAACTGCCAGTAGGCGTGTTTGCGGGTCACCACCAGCCTTCCCAGAAGCCAGTTCCTTCTCTTGCAGGGCCCTTCACTCCAGTTCTTCCACTAGACCCCTTTCTACGTGTCTGGCTCAAGGCCTGCCTCCAGTCAGCCAGGTGGCAGCTTCCACACCTGCCCCTCCACAAGTAGACAGTGCTGTGGGGACACCAACCCCACGGCAAGAATAAGTGTTGCTTGAATGAATAAAAATCACCTCTTCCCCCTCAGTGGACACAAATGCCTCAGTCACATTCCACTCCCCGCTGGCTCTGAGATAAGACAGTCCTCCGAGCCTGACTTTGGGCGACTGTTCCTAAAACACTGGGCTTGCGGCCTTGAACACTGGACTAAAGACCAGATTATGTCTGGTCTTGGCCAGGCAGCCGGTGGAAGCAAGCAGACTGAAGGTCCTATTTGTTAATTCTCTTCAGTCACTGACCAGCTAGCCCCCAGACCCAGTAGTGGGAGAAGCTACCTGTACGGTCCTGGTTCAGCCAGATTGGCAGTCTCTCTCTGCTCTCAGTCATGTGTCTAGGTCTGGCTCAGGGCCCCACCACTGGCTTCTCCAGGACAGAAACATCTCGTCCTCTCAGAGGGGACCTAAGATCTGGGCCTGTTTTTCTCATCAGCCTGGGCCCCCCTTAGGGGCCCTTTAGTCAAGAGATGTTAATGAGGGGCGCCTGGGTGGCTCAGTCGTTAAGCGTCTGCCTGCCTTTGGCTCAGGTCATGATCCCAGGGTCCTGGGATCGGGCCCCACATCGGGCTCCCTGCTCTGCGGGGAGCCTGCTTCTCCCTCTCCCACTCCCCCTGCTTGTGTTCCCTCTCTCACTGTCTCTCTCTGTCAAATAAATAAATAAAATCTTAAAAAAAAAAGAGAGAGACGTTAACGGGCTTCCCAACAATCGCTGATTCTCATTCTGTTATCGTGGCTGTTGGGTATGACCTCGGAACACTGGAATGTATTGGACCCAAGTAGACAGTCTTTGTTCTAGGCTGAATGCTGACAGAGACAGGCAGGGTCTCTAGGAGCCCCACCTGTGGTCTGGGAATCCCCAACATTTCTGGGATCCAATTTGAGGGACGCTAATAAAAGGATAAAGAGTGAATGTTAGCTCCTCAGTCAAGCTTCCCATTGTGTCCATATGAAGAATAAGTCCCCACTGGGACCTAAAGCTAAGTTCACTGTGTGATCTTTCATAAGTTGTTTGCCTTCTCTGAGCTTCTTGGTCGTCCCATCATCAAGTGACCCCATGTGTGTGGGCTTCAGACTTGCCAGCTTGCTGAGAGTGATAGAAGATCACTTTAAATGGCTGAGTCAGGACCAGGATGAAACATCTATCACACGTTGTTGTCAATGCACAGATATTTACTGAGTCTGTTGTATGCTGGGAACACAGTGAGGGATGAAAGGAACAAGCCCTGCTGTTGTGGAGCCCACATTCAAGTGTAACAAGATAGAGACTAAATAATAAGTCAATGAGGGTCTGAGATCAGCCGGCAGTAAGTCAGTCCCCTTGATCAAGGGATGGGAGGGCGGGCCAGGGGCTGCTCTGTGGTCCAGTTCATCAGGGAAGTA